TTGGCCTGTCCTGGGTCCGAGACCTAGAAGAAGGCTCCTGGAACTCCTTCTGCTGCCAAGGAGAAGAAAACCCTGCCTGACACATACTGAGAAAGGCTGTTTGAAGCAGAAGCACACACATATGTACCCAGTCTAGGAGTTCCTAACCAAACAGAGTAAATTACTTACAAAGCACCTGTAGGAACACAGCTGAGATGTCACAGCAACATGACTGACTCAGCAGTGTCTGAGACGACTAGATTATAGGCACTTCAAAGTGTGTCATGCCATTTGCCATGAGGAACAGTCTCGTCTAGAGGATTTACTGATTCAAATCACCAGAAATTCTCAGTTTACACCCTAAAAAAATGTTCAATCATCTAGGGCCAAATGGATATGGAATTATCTAATCAGGTAAGCAAGGAAATGCTTGTCCTTAGGTGGGGGGGTGGGGGGAAGCACGCAGGTTGGAAGTAGGAGGCAGTGTATTCATCACAGTCATATTTGTAAAGATTGATGCCAGAAGCTGGTGATTTGGGTCTGAAAGTGGGGACAAGGTGCAGGTAATGGGAAGAAACTGCAAACAAATAAAAACAGACAAACAAAACCCAGAGAAATGATTCTCAAATGAATTGACTGCATTTCATGCCTGGTGAAAATTCAGTTGATCATATTCTATCTACTCTATCAAAAATTATGACAGCTTTCAATAAATTAAATTGTATGTGGTGTGTCTGAAGACTACTATCATAGTCAGTCAACATCCAACAGCAAAAAGAAAGAAGAAAAAATTTCTACAGGTAATTCTTGCTAAACTATACAAAAAAAAAACCCTGAACTAGACTGGTATGGGGATAGGGTTTTAATTTTTGCGTAAGTACTCTGCATATCCAAACTAATTTCCAACTTCAGTTGTCTTAGTTCATGAGCAAACAAAGTGTGTGACAGCTGGAAATTAGTCATAGTGGGGTTTCTGGCTTGTCAAAGTGAGGAAGAAAAATTATTCTTAAGCAGCAAAATACACACAAAAGATTATCTTTTCAGTGATTTTCTAATTCCTCTAACTGAAAGGTTTGGTTTCCATTCTCTTTTGTTCGTTTTCCAAATCAATGGTATCCTGTAGCGGCAAAGAAAGTGAATATAGTGGAAGTGATGTGGATGCTGACCAACTACTACAAGAATGTCTCCTGAGCAAGGAGTTTCTAAACTTCTCTAGTCACTATTTTCAGATGAGCTTGAAAATTTGTGAATTATAGTAAGGTAAGAACCATTCAAAACTTTCTACAAAAACAGTTTTGTAATAACAAAGCTATCCTATATGACCAAAATAGGAAACTTTACTCACTAAAAACATCTTTCAGGATGAGTTTATTTTTTATTCTTTATATCAACTTCATTCAAAAGATATTTGGATTCCAAAATAAAAAATAGCAACTATCACTTGAAATTCTCTAGAACTACATATATGAAATTATGTATTTATGAATGGGGAAGATGCAAAGAATAATAAATATACACTACCCAGAATTGAGATTTATTAATTGGATTTATTTGGATATTGATCCAGATTCTTATCAGTATCATTATTATAATTGCTTCATTTGTTTTGAATAAGAAGAGAACACTTAAGAGAAAAAATTTAAATCCTTTCAATTTCCAAATTGTGAGCCACTAGAAACAAGCTCTACAAGCACTGAATATTTTTGTTTCATTTTCTAGTAAACAGTTGTCATTGAGTGATAGCATATTTCCTCTGCCTTTCTACACACAGAGACAAGAACTGAGTATATTCTAGTATCATTTTAGATACTTTTACAAATACTTGAAGGTATTCCCACTGAACAGCATATAGATGTTTGATATCTTGGAGTAAAACTTACATAAACATTATACTTAAAATATTCTGTGCATTGTCAACCAGTATTGTGTAAGCATGGAGGAACCTCAGTATACTATTCCTAACATGAAACAATGCTCAGTAAACACAACAATAGTATTCCATTATCGCTATTTTCCAAATTCCTGATTAGAATATTATGATCAATTTTTACAAGACCCTACCATCCATGCTCAGACTACTCTATATAGTTCTGGTTTTTCAAACTTTATACAAAAACATGGCTCTGAAGGAAGTAAAATAGCTAACAGAAGTAAGAAAATGGAAGAGGAAACAAGAAAAGCTTGTCATTCTAAAAAAGATATTGTTAATGACTGTTACATATGCATTGAAGGGGGAAGTAAATGAGGAATTATTGCTGGTATACATTGGGAACTTAGATTTTGGCATGGGAGGAAGAAGAAATAAGAAGTTAAATAAGTAAATACTCTCTAGTCATAAATATGAATTGTGACTCTGGATACATTAAAAAAAATAATTTTCTATAGTGCTGAGATGGTGGTTTCTAAATACTATCTCCCCCCTCACAAAGGAACTAGGGGTCCTTAGAGAAATGGCTAATTCCAGTTCTGGACAAGGAATATGCAATATGCCTGGACTAGAACATCTTGTCATCGCCCTCAGAGAATCAAGCTAGGAGTTCTAGTCAGTGCATGTGAAAAAAATTCAGGAGTCAACTTGAAAAAAATTCCCACTGGCCAAAGATGGGATAATTTAGCAGCTAAAAGATGAACTAAAATATAGCAAAATCAAATTCATTTCAAAATCATTGACACATAGACTATAAATCCATGAGTTCATAATAACCATTTAAAAAGGAAGTTATTATTTACATGCTAAGTAAGCAATCATTTTTTTTAAAATGCCTAAATACTGTATGTCAAAGAATCAAGCATTTATCCTGCCTTTGCTGTAGTAACTATACACCAGGATAACTGAAGAGTTGATAAAGGCAAGTTTCTACTCATAAAAAGTCAAATGTTAAACCTGGATATAATCAAACTTCTAGATCTAACTACCATCTAATAAGGCATATAGAGGACAGAAAAATGCAACCAGCAAAATCCCATCTGGGGGAAAGTCTAAGGGCAAATGATCGTCAAAGGATGGAGGAGATAAGAGGGTGAAGGGATGTGGGAAGAAAAAGGTGGAAACCTCTAACTTAAAATAAATCAACCAATGGAAATGTGTGGATCTTATTTTGATCCAGATTCTTAAAAATAAATTTTTGTAAAAAAAATCATTTATGAGACTAACTGGAGAAATTTGAACACATAAGAATAAAGAATTATTAGTAATTTGGAGAGGTAATGATACTTTCATTAGTTTCTTAAAATGAGTACTTAACTTATAGAAATCATATTATTTAATTCAGAGATATTTCCGTTTGTATTCTTTCCAAATAATTTAGGGTAAAGGGGAAGTTGGTAGGGACATAGAGGAAAGAAGATTAACCCAGTGCTGATAATTATTTAAGCAGGGTAAGGGCTATATTATGGGGGGAAGGTGGCTGTGTACTCTTTTCTCTGCATATATGTGTTAAAGTTTTAGGAAAAAAATAATAATAAAGGTACAAGGGATGTTGAAAACTGTAAAAGGCTGAAAAGCATCATTAGGATAAAGATAATATTTTCCTCAAATATCAAATTCTTTAATCAAATATCAAATTCTTTAGGCGAGGCATGTTCTGTGAACCTAAGTACAAATAAAAATAAAAATGCTACTTTGTGTTAGCAGTTCCCAATCTGTGGGTCGCGACCCCTTTGGCGGTCGAACGACCCTTTCACAGGGGTCGCCTAAGACCATCCTGCATATCAGATATTTACATTACGATTCATAACAGTAGCAACATTACAGTTACGAAGTAGCAACGAAAATAATTTTATGGTTGGGTCACAACACGAGGAACTGTATTTAAAGGGTCAGAAGGTTGAGAACCACTGTTAGAGACTCATGCCCTAACTCAAAGTGAGATGATGGAAGAAATCTTTTGTGACAGATCTAAACCATGTGTACCTCACCAAATGCACCCAAAACAGAGCCTATTCCATAGTAGCAAGCAAATGAGTGTTTAGATGCAGCAGACCAGCACAGTGGAAATGTGCAGGTCATTGGAGTTTGTGAAGACCCTCTTTCTGATCAGTCTTATTAAAACGCAGTGACTAATGAGGCTTTAATCATCCATCTACTTCTGCTTAGTGGTAGGACTGTTAACATGTAATATGAAAACTTAAAATCATAGAAAAATAATAAAAATAAAATCATAAATATTAAAATGAATCGTTTTTTATTTTGTAGTATATCTACATCGACTCCCCCTACTCCAGAAGCCTCGGTATAAACTTGCTGGTTTTGACAAACAAAACACCAATAGAACAGATACCTTTGTCAGTGCTGTAGGTGAATTCTGGCTCTTGTTTGGACACCAGCTGTGTGCTAATTCTAATTAGTTTTGCGATTGCCTAAATTACCAAATATTACACAATGCTCCTTTAAGCTTCTAGGAATGAGACTGGATATTGGCTGGCAGATGCCCCTGATGAGACAGGCCTGGTCCTAACAGTCTCTACGATGAGTTCCACCAGATACGAAGTAAGGGCGGCGGCATGCCCATATACCTGCGAGTCAGCTCAGGCAATAAGGTGCAGGGTGATTTGGGGGATGTACAAAATAATTCTCTGGTCTAATGACATATGTGTCCAGGATCTGGTGCCATTTTTTGATTAAGTACTAATCAGTAACATCATACCCACCACATTCAAACCTTATGCTCCCCTGTAGACTTCAACAGTCTACTGGTGTGGCTTTCCCTTTAGCCCTTCATCTAAATTTATGCAATGAAAATCGGGAATGGATGCACTATTTCTAGTCCTAAAAGGTAAACTGGATTACTAACATGAGCAGTTTGGACGAGATGGCCTGAGAGTTCTTAAAATAAGAGATTGAGTGCAGTGTGGGAAATTTGGTAGCAATGAAGGCTTTCTTTCTGGACAGGGCTTTCTGTCCTCGATCTATATTCAATAACTAAAAATATGAGATGTAAGATAAAATGCTCAGTTGTTGCTTCCTTTAGCCAAGTCTGATGAAATGGATGGATTTCATTAGGAAAAGGAAAAAAACCTACCTGAAGACTGCGAGGGTGAGAGACCAGAGCACTAACGGCTTCCTCAGCTCAAACTTCGCCCGCTTGTTCATTAGGTGCCGACCGCCAAAGATAAAGGCAGCATACAGAGCAGAGAACAGGAAAGATTTCTTCCTATGGAAAAACAAAATGAACTCTTACAACATAAAAGTTTACACAATATATTTTTATCCTTTAGAAATGTATACTTAGTCATTCTTCGTCAACTTTTATACCAGCCCCTCTTTGTAAGTGCAGAAAACATTTTCTTGTAAATGTCCCTTCATTAAAGAGACAATGTTTAGTCCATTTGGCAACGTGGATGAATCCTCCCTCAAGGAAGAACACAGAACCACCTAAAGCACGCTTGCCTAAAACTTTGAACTTTGAATCCAATCCAACGTCTGATTTTACTACAAATTTATAGGAAATATAGGGAATAAATCCAATTGTGGGACATTCTGTAGAACACCGAACTTATTTCTTCAACAAATCAGTAATAGGCAATCAAAATCTAGGACTGTTCTAAACTAAAAGTGACTTGAGAGACATAACAATCAAAATTTCCAGGAAACAACAGAACCAAAACAGTATTAAAGGTGGAGAGATGAGGAGAAACTAAGATGGCGGCAGAGATAAACACCGGGAAGTTGATGCTGCTCACAACAATTGATTAATACCTCAGAAAAACAATACGGACATCATCCAGAACCACAGGAAGCCTGGCTGACTGTAAATTCTACAACTAGAAGGAAAGAAAAGCCTGCCCTCCGCTCCCATCAAGGAACCTGGAGTGGAACATCCTCCCGGGTGCTCCCCAAAGCACACACTCTCCTTCCTGGAGAACAGGGTAACAATCAAAATTTCCAGGAAACAACAGAACCAAAACAGTATTAAAGGTGGAGAGATAAAATAAAAATAAGAAAAAAAAATGATGGAACACAGGGACTCATTATTCTCTTTTTGGTAATCAGGCTTAGGTGGGACTCTTAATTGGAAATGGCTAAGAAGTATCAAATAGAGACCTGGCTGGGTGTCCCAGTTGGTTGGAATGTCATCACATAACCAAAAGGTTGCAGGTTCAATCCCCATACGGGAGGCAACCAATCTCTCTCTCTCTCTCTCTCTCTCTCAACAACTTATAAAAACCACATCCTCGGATGAGGGGAAAAAACCCATGAAATTTCAGATGGCCATCTCCAGGTCCCGCTGGCTATTACTGTGCCAAGGAGAAATGAACAATAGTATTGAAGAACAAAAGCTTCTACAGACTATCCTATATAATAAAAGACTAATATGCAAATAGACTGAACGGCAGTACAACCGAACAACTGAACCGGTTGCTATGACGTGCTCTGACCACCAGGGGGCAGGCGCAGAACATGGTGGTGGAGAGGTGAGCAGAGGTGCCAGAACATGGTGGGACACCAGTCAATGTCATTGGGTGAGCCTTTGGTGGTTATTGAAAAATCTTTGCTCCCACACACCATGGTCCCACCCAGCACTTGCACCCGCTGCCAGCGCTAGAGCTGCTGCTTGCACCCACCCACTGCCGGAGCTAGGTGCTGGCCCTGATCGTTCAGCACCATCAGCAGGTGTGAGTGGCAGCTGCCGGCCCCAATCACCCCTCAGGGCTTCTCCATCTCCCCACCCCCCGCCCCTGCTCCAGAGGAGATATAAGGGTCAGCAGCCGCCTCTTGCACCTGCTGTGAGAAATGGCCCTGTCGCACCCACAGCCAGCACTGGAGCCGCCGCTTTTACCCACTGCTGGTGCCTGGTACCGGTCCTAATCGCTTGGCACCATCAGTGGGTGTGAGCAGCAGCTACCAGCCTTGATCGCTTGAGGGCTTTTCCACCTCCCCCTGCTCTTGAGGGGGTGATTGGGGCAATCGGGGCAGCAGCTGCCGCTTGCACCCACTGATGGTGCCGGCCCCACTCACATCCACTGCTGGCGCCAGCCCCAATTGCTCCCTGCCTTCAGCGGGTGCAAGTAGGGCTGGCGCCATCAGTGCCTGGGAGTGGCGGCAGCAAGAGCGGAGCTGCAGAGGGAGGGACTAGGCAGGGGTGCAGAGGAGAGCCGAAACCCATCCCTGTGCCCACCACAGCCTCACAGCCCACAGTTCCTTTCAAGGTGCACAAATTCGTGCACTGGGCCCCTAGTAATTCAATAAAAAGTAACAGAGGCCTGGTAAATAATTTAACCATCTGAGCATACATCTGGAAAAAAGTAATATTTCCCTTAAAATGGCCATTTCCCACTCAATTAGATTTTTGAAAAGGGTTGAAAAGTAATTTACAAGACAATACAAATAGCAAAATGCATTAATCTGAAGAGCATTATTTGCAAAATGCTTCATATTTTTCTCCCTAACTGCTGACACATATTGCTGACTCATGAGGTATCATACTATTTACACAAGCAACACTCCCAATTCAAATAAAGCGAGCAATCCCAGAAATCAACCCATAAATAAGGGTGGAATAAATCACTTCCACTGAGGTTTGCAAACACTTCTCTTGGAAACATAAGACCTGGTACACAGGGGTGCTTATTAAATATTTGTAGAATGATCATGGTCTTGTCATATCAAATTTTCTGACAGGGAAAATAATTGTGTACATGCTTGTTTAGCAAACACTAAGTAAGTGAACACTTGTACTTTTCCAGTTAACACAGTAATAACTAAAGAATAAAATACTTAGAAAAAACATATGATCATTTTCTTCCTCCAAAAAGAGACTATTTCTATAGTTCACACAGAAGTGAAAAACTAGGGAAACTTAACTATTGAACATTTCAAGAAGAAAGTACTTTAGGTCATAAACATATTTATCACTTTACTTTTTTGAATTTGGCAAGTGTGCAGCATTAAATTAGTCTTAGAGTCAGAATTACTATCCTCATTTACTCTGACTCACTAAAGAAAAATATAATTCTATCAAGTTAATGTAGGCAATAGTAATATCAAATAGTATATACTCTTTTTAAAATTATAAAGGTAATGATAAATGACAATAATCACAGTATTATGATTTAGACTAGAGAGTGATTCCAGTGGGTTGAAAAAGTGCTTAAAAGCGTTATCATTTAATCCTTTTAATCATCCATAAAGCAGGTAAAGCATTATCTTCATTTTATGGCTAACCAACCCGGGCTAAAGGTTAAGTTTAAGGGGGGCGTGGGGGAGAAAGGTTGTACCTTATGTGTTATTTTATAAGCATATGAGAAGTCCTTAAGCCCCCCTAGAGAATCCCATGGTCATTGTGTAACTGTGTAGTAAAGTATTATTTTTTAAAAACAAAACAAAACACAGCTTTATTGAGATATTAGAGGCCCCATGCATGAAATTCGTGCAAGAGTAGGCCTTCCTTCCCCTGGCTGCCTGCACCAGTTTCCCTCTGGCACCTGGGACCTGGGCTTCCCACCAGCCACCAGCAAGCACCTGGGACCCAGGCTCCCCTTAGGCCCTGGCTTCATCCAGAAGGATGTCTGGAATGACATCTGGTCTAATTAGCATGTTACCCTTTTATTATTATAGATAATTCATGTATCATACAATTCACCCACTTAAAATGAGTAATTCAATTTTGGGGGGTATATTCAGAGTTAGCCAACCACCACCACAATCAGTTTTAGAATATTTTCTTCATCTCCAAAAGAAACCCTGTATTCAGCAGCAGCAGTTACTGCCTATTTCCTCCCAACACTTGCTCCCCAGCCCCAGCAACCACTAATCTACTTACTATGCTTATGGTTCTGAACATTTCCTCTAAATGTAACCATAGCCCTGGCCAGTGTGGTTCATTTGGTTAGAGCATCATCCGTGCACTGTAAGGTTTTGGGTTTGATTCCTGATCGGGGCACACACCAGGGCTGTGGGTTCGATCATTGGTGGGGCATGTGTAGGGTTGGGGGAAAAGTAAGAGGAATCTCCACACCTTCATGTTTATATGTCATATTTTCTGGGCACAGATCGCTTTACTTCCTGGTTAACAAATTATCGCTCATTCAGTGTATCTCAGGTTTTAGCTATGGTTACATTGTGTTATTTTGAATCAAGTTAAATGAATATCTTTATATGAACATATCATTCTAGCCATTAAACGAATGTAACTTTAATAACCAAGAAAAGAATAAAAAGCTCCCTCTCTGGTAAGGAGTTGCCGACTTCAATATGAAACACTTGCAGCCAAAGAGTGAGAAGTGAAACGCTAACTCTCTAAAAGAAACCAGCTTAGCTTCCAAACAAGCCAACGTTCCCAACCGGATTTGCTCATTCTCTTTGTGGTGTCCAATGGACATCTGCCTTATCTCAAGTGAAAAAACGTCAAGTCTGAATTCTCCAAGTAATTATACACAAATGGTCTTAAAATTCAACATAAAAAACTTCTCTGTATTTCTCAGGCTTCCTTTCATTCTGCGTGAGAAGTTTTTCATATTTTTAAGTGTACCTATATAAATATATAAGAATTAAAGAATAAAAACTGAAAAAAAAGAATAAAAATCTTCCCTCTGTATATTTTTCTCTAATTTCTTCAGTTCTAGAATGAGAACTAGGTCTAATGTCCTGTTCCTTCCTGGCAAGGACCATTCTCTTTTTCAAACATTTTCTAAAGATTCTTCACAAACTTTCAATTCCACAGCTAGGGTAACCAAGCCAATCAACATAGACACACAGAATTTAAGAATTGCAAGGGACCCTAGAGATGGAGCCCAGTTTCCTCATTCTACAGAAGGTGTGTGTGTATGAGAGACATTGGTTGCTTGTAATTAAACAGCTGCATACTGCATATTGGTCAAAACTACCAAAAATCAACACGCAGTAATTGTCTCAGCTATATCTAGGTCACAAGTAGTTAATAATGTGAACTGATATTTGTTTAAGTATAAATGCTATAATAAAAACCTTGCTCATTGTCTACTATGTAAGTCTGCTGTGGTAAAATTCAAATAATGCTTTGGGCTAATTTAGAATTAAGCGTAAGCTTCTTAAATAACAGGAAGTCATTAACTCTTAACTATTACCTCTCCAATTGAGTAATCAAAATATATCATTTATAGTTAGATATATTATGATTTTTCCATTTTGCTTAGAAGAAGATAAGATTTTCTTTAGCAAACTGGCTTAAATGAA